AGCACACTGACTATGGATAAGTACCTCATACAACAACACTTGAAAGGAACTAAACGACCTCTTTAGCAACACAAAAACTTCCCAGCTTGATGTGGGAATGCCCCTCTCAGACTCAGGCTGACCAATTAATCCATTTCAAATTGTAACCGCTGCCATATTGGTTATGCAGCACATCTGAGCCAGAGGAGAAGGCCACTTGCCTGCCAGTGAAGCTGCTGGAGTTGCAGTACAAATCCATCTGCACATGAATGTTGAGATCAGACTGTCACATCCGTATGCCGTTTTAATTGCACAAGCAGCATTCTACTGAAGTTATATGCAGTATATCAAATATTCCTTTACAGTTACTACAAAGAACTGCTTCTGTGCTGTTGGGGCTGATACATTGGAAGCATTTGATTTTTCAAAGATGTTTCAAATGTCACTTTTGGTGCTTCTAAAATTTGATTTATGTAAACTTTATGAGAGTTGACCACTTTAGTGAGTGGGCCACAGCATTCTAACCAGTCACAAACTTACCTGAACCTGTGAAATGTCAGGTGAAAACAGTTTATTTTCACACGCATTCCTTGTAAATAATACGTGACACGTGATGAAGGTCTATGTGATCTTATGCACAGTCATGGTCCATACATGTAAATAAAACTTGGTTCTGTCCTTCTGTTACCCATCAGTGATACAACATGTCAGAATTCACATAAAGTCAGAAATCAATATATATAACGTTCGCGCAATATTCATCTAGAAGTTATGGAATTTGCACGCTGATGAGACTTTTTAAAAACCAGCTCAGAGTGTCAAACCAAGAAAACCGTGTGTTGGACTCAGCAGCTCTTCTTCCTGGTTGCTCCAGCGGTGTCTGTGGAGACATCTGGCCCATTAAGGCCTCGGTGCTGTCGGATGTCTGCTTCAGCTCCACAGACAACGTAGACGTTGAATAAATGATCAGCAAAATGCTGCCACTCTCATCTAAACATGTGACGCGAGACAACGTTGTAAAAGCTTTATTGATGGTTTTTAGTCACTTCTGGTGATGAAATGTGAATTAACTCAGAAGTTCAAGGGTCATGTTGTGACAGGTGTTGTTTGTGTGTCTCAGGTTAAATCAGACATCAAGAAACGAGTGAGGGAAGACCCGGATTTCAACTCTCAGCAGTTCCCCAATGCACACAGAGCTTTCTCATCAGACTCATAATCACAGTCATGCAGCGCTGAAGCTGTTTTCTCCTCCATCTGCATTATTTTGGATCTTTGTTTGACGAGCAGTCGGTGCAGTTTCACCCCAACAACCGTCTGTCAACCATTTTTAGCAGCGCTCTTAAATCTTGCTAATGTGACGACTTCCCCAGTGCCTATTTATTGCTTTGCGTTTATTTTGGTCCAACTCCTGCTGAGAGAATGTTCCTTATTGAAAAAGTGTTGCACCACATATGAGTTTGACTAAATCAGTTCACTTTAATTCTGTTTGAATCCGTGTGTTTTGTCTGTTTCTTTTGCCTCGTGTCGCTTCGTTAGTGTGGAGCCTGAATCCTCATTCTTTAGCGGACTTCTGCCTTCCTCTCAGTACTCGCGAGCACAAGAGAAGACTTTCATGTCATGCTGTTTGGTACATGAATGTACAGTAAGCTTAATAAAGTCTTGATAAGTACACGAGTGTGTGTTGTTTGTTCTGCTAGCATTAGCATTAGCATTGACACCAGTTTAAAGAAGAAGGATTCCTCCCTGTGTTCTGTTTGTATCTGCTCGTGAGCAGAACCTGCAGTACAGAATCATCACATGTTTCAGGTTTTACACACTAAAAACACACATTACATGACTGGACTACATTAATCGCTAAAACCATTTTGCTTACGTATTTTTATTCATAACTGTCATTATAATGAATCAATATTCTCAGTTGTTTTGTGAAACTTCAGATGTTCCTGAGACATGCAGCACCTTGTCTGCTAAAAAGAGGAGAACATGATTAAAAAATTTACAGCACCTCCTCACAGAAAAGACAGTTTGTCTTTTTTAATAGTTGCAAACTCGTTAAACACATAACGATAAAATGTGACACTAGCATGTCAAAAAAAGATTCTATCGCTGTGTGTCATGAAAAAGCCGTGAATGTGTATTTAAAGGTCAGGATGTCGAAGAACAACATTGTGAAAAGAAGTCAGAGTCTGTCACAGAAAAAGTCCGTTTAGTGTGTCGTCAATGAAAGCTCAGGACAGGGTGTCTGAACAAACGCTGCAGCATCCTGCATGTTAAAGTTAAACAGAACTTCTGTTGTGATCTGTGAGGCCTGAATCCAACATGAGGATGTTTCTAGTAGAGGTTCTGTCCAGTCGGATTCACATGGACGTTCAGCCTCTGCTTGTAAAACATCGTCTTTGACTTTTCAAACCGCCTGTGCTTGTTTCAGTCGCTGTCAGCTGTTGATCCGTAGAGCAGCAATGTGCTGCTTCAAACAGCTCCTTATTGGTTTTGGTCACTAAGTGCTTCCTCCCTGAACTCTGACCCTGAAGCACTTCCAGGTTTTAGAAAATACACCAGTTAAATGAGCGATTAGTGGTTTTGTTTGTTTGTTTGTTTGTTGTGTTGCTGTGTGCCACTGGATGCAGTGCTGGAGAACTACAATCCTGATGATTCTCAGGGAATTAATATTTCCTTCATTTAGCAGAATTAACTATTAACAGTTCATTTTTGCTGCACACGACCGGATGCACTGACATCTGCCAGTGAATTACTTTGATACAGAAGAAATCTTTAAACGTATTGATTCTCAACCGAGTTCTGAGATGCAAGCTTATCCTGGTTTGTTTATTTAAATTTTTTTAAAGAATAAGAGTTTATATTTTTGGAAAATTGATTTAGCTGCTAACCGATCTTTTTTGGCAATGTCCAGTTGGTTGTACTGACCATAGATATGTGCAATACAGGCTGTATTATACATATCTATGGTACTGACACTATCACTGAACTACTGTAATATTGAAGGTCTTTTAAAAACTCCATCATTCTAAACCGAATTCTGAAGCTTTCCAATTCAAATTAACCTCGAATGTTTCCCTGTTTTTAGTGTAAATTGGTTTATTTTTTTGGAAGATGAATGGCGCCGAACAAGCTCTTAACAACTTGTTTTTGATGTGTACTATTTGGTGCACTGACACAATCCCAGAATTACTTTAACACTGAAGAAATCTTATAAACGTATTGATTCCCAACCGAGTTCGGAAGCGTCCATCTCCTGCCCCACACCGTGAACCGCGGCTTAGCCTGGACTCGTTCCTTGTTTTCAGGATGTATTTGTTCAGCTTTTGAAACGTATTTTGCCGAATTATCTGTTGACGGTTATTTTGTTCTCTGTGCTATTCTACGTCCTGACAACTAATACTGAATTATTTTGACACTGAAGAAATTCTAAAAACCTGATTCTTCTTAAGCGAGTTCGGAAGCGGTCTTCTTCCTGTCCCAGGTTTTCAGCCTGTGTTTGGACATTCTGGAAAATGAATGACACCGAATTAGCTATTAACAGCTCCGGTCGACAATGAGTTGTCCTGATGCATATTTCCACTCCTGATTTTGATTATGAGATCGTTTTCTCATAATTACGAGATAATGTGCAGCAGCATAAAGGGGCAGGAGCTGCAACGCTTCAGAACTTGCCTAAGAATCAACATGTTTTAAGATTTCTTCAGGGATTTACGAGTTAACTAGCAGCTGTCAGTGCATCCAATGGTACCAAGCAGAAATGAATTGTTCACAGTTAATTCGGCGAATTAAGTTGTATAAAACATGGGTCTCCTGTTGTCATGTATCCATGGCAACACTAAACTTCCCGTTTCTTCTGCATTTCAAATCAAATCAGGTTTATTGTCAAGTTGCTGCACACACACAGCAGTACAGGCAGGAGGACAGAGCGTTTCTCCAGGATCAGACAAGACCACAGATATAAATAATAAAGGCTGTATTAAGCCTTTGTTATATATATCTATGGACAAGTCACTCAGCGTTCACTCTCGATGTCTCCTGAAGGGGGCGCTGCATCCGCGCGCGCTGCCATCACCATGGAAACAATCTAAGTAAATTTCTTGTTTACATCTGTTCACATTAGCGCAGACTTTGAAGGTGACATTTCACAGAATCCAGAATGAATCCTTGTGTTGAGTCTATTGGATCAGTGAGCATCACCACCGCCTGAACCTTTTCCAGGTCTCACATCCTTCCAGCAGCACTGCCTTTCAAAATACACTCCGTCCATCCGTCCGTCCCTCCGTCCGTCCCTCTGTCCATCCCTCCGTCCGTCCGTCCGTCCGTCCGTCCATCCGTCCGTCCCTCCATCCGTCCGTCCCTCCCTCCGTCCGTCCGTCCATTCATCTATCTTCTACCGCTGCATCCAGAGTCGGGTCGCGGAGGCAGCAGCGTTAGCCGTCCAGACTTCCCGATCAGCACGCACCCCCTCCAGCTCTTCTGGGGGGAACCTGAGGCGTTCCCAGGCCAGTCCAGAGACATCATCCCTCCAGCGTGTCCTGGGTCTTCCCCGAGGCCTCCTCCCAGTGGGACGCCCGGAACATTCAGTAATAAAATAAAAGAGTAATTCAGTGTAATCAGGTGGGCAGCTGTCATTTCCCTGTTGCTGTACATGAAGTCATGAAGCTTTCCGTTTCCTGTTGAGTCTTCTGTTCACATGGAAGATGATGGAGATGCAATCAGGCTGTTCACAACAATAAGACTGTCAATAAAAGGCCGAATGATGACTGCTCTTCATCGCGTCAGTTCATTTTCATACAGAAAATGTTTTCCAGCTGAAATATGGGTTAGAGTTTTCCATTTCCAATCAGAACCCTTCTCCTGGATCTACAGGTGTTCAGAGTCAGAACATGAGGACTGCATTAGCATGGCAGCACTTCGGGGACGTTAGAGCTTCTGTCCCCCTTTTTTCTGGCACAACTTTTTATTTTCCTGATCTTACGTGTCTCAAACTGTAAATGAAAACTGCAGCATTCATCCACAATTAGCGTCAGTGCAGCAGAACACAGACACGTGGCGCTGCTTCAGGGTCAGGGTTAGGACTTCATGCTCGTCTGTCAGAGAGAAGCTTGTTTCATTCTTTGTATTTCTGTTTTACCTCCATGTGAGGACACGGTGGCCTGAGCTGAAGAGGTGACTAAAGAGAGAATGCAGTTGATGGCTGGTTTGCACACAAGGGCTCCAGTTGTCTCGGTGAACCGGTCGGGCAGCCACAGGAGTGCACTTCCTGGTTAGCATCCTGTTTTGAGCGAGGAATGTCAGCAGCTCATGTGGTACAGACTGATTTCTTCACACTATCAGCTCCACATCGAAGAAGTAAAACATAAATACAGGAGTTTCCGTGTTGACAAAGGGAAGCTCTGAGAGCTGAGCAGCGCAGCACAGAAATCTTTAGATTGTTAAACCAGTTGGAGTTTTTTTCAGTTCAAATTTAAATATAATGTGACACACTGGCCATAACGGTGCCGGACCAGAGGGCCAACGTTTAGCTAGCAGCTAGCACTCATGAAAAAAACTCAACAATATGTTTTGGTTGATCGAGCCTTTAAATGATTGAAGGGAAGAGATGCAGGTGCTGCTGAGGCTAGAAAGTTTCCCCGTGAAGTCCCAGATACGAATATAACGATGACCACATGTAGCGCCAGGATAGCTTATCTAACTAGAGCAACCTACAATAAAACAATAAAAAGGGTTTTCATTGGCTGTCAGCAACCCCCGTCACATGTATGTCGGTTACTGATTAATGGAAACACACTCTCATGTCGTTATGGGAAAACTGGTCATAAAGCACTCCAGACACTGACAGTAAAATGAACCGATCCTGTCGTGGAGGAAAACAGCTGATAGCCGGCGACTGTGACCCGTGTGAGTGCAGAAAGTACAGAGTTTTATCATGATCAAGATTAGTCGGGCTGCGTTTAGAACCTGGAACTCTTCCACCACCTCGTCAGCCTGACATGCTGCGTTTTAACTTAATTTCTGTTAAGAAAAAAGCTGAGATTGTTCATAGAGCTTCAGAGGTTCGGACGCCACTGTCTGAGTTCAGATGAGCTTTATTAAAAAACAGCAAATACACATGAAGCCAAACCGAGCTGCTGCTGCTGCAGGGTTTAGTTACCGGGTCGCCTGAGAACAGCGAGTGTGTGAGCAGCCAGCTCACCTGCACTGTTTACAGAAGGTGTGTGTTTGGTGAGCACACACACTGCTTCAGCTTCAGATGTGACACCAGGTTTCTTTAAAGTAGCTACAGCTGGCAACCGTTAGCTTAGCTTAGCAAAAAGACTGGAAACAGGTGGGAAGCTGTAGCCTGTTGACACAAGTTGAATCAATGAACAAAACACTGGAGTTCTGGCGTCAGACTGGGCCGAGTCACATGCAGGTGTGTTGCAGGTTAAGCTCTGAGAGATGTTTCATGAAATCTTGGTTGAATTCAGTTTGAAACGTGTGATGAAGACCTCTGCTGCTGCAGCTCTTCACCGTTTGTCTTCTCATGTCACCTCCACGATGTCGGTTCGTGTGAAGGAAGACGTGTTGCTGTCTCCTGATTAGTCAGTTTTCAGACGTTTAGTTAAGCCAAGGTTAATCTTAATCTCAAGTGAAGATTGAGCAGCAGTTCTGTCTGTCTCACGCTGCTGGTTTATAAACTGCAAAGGAAAAGACAAAGACTCTAAATAAGTCAGAGGGACCAATAAAAGAAGCAAAAAGTTAACTAGAGTTCCAAATGACAGCAGAATGTTTCCCCAGTGACATCGTTTTTTGAGGATTTTAAGGGATTCCTCAAGCATTAGATCAAGAATGCTGATCTCACTTCAAGAACTTCAAGAACCCAAAGAATCCTGTCAAGGAAACCGGAGCAGAACCCTGAAGCGTGTTTTGTGCATCTCAACTTGATTTTTGTTGCAGACACTCTGAGCACTCGTCAGTGTTTCCAGGCTCCAAAAGCAAAAGCTCTTTTTCATGCATTTTTAACTTTTTAAAAATAAGTTCATCAGACGAATGCAAAGAATCCATCAGTCACACATCGGCCTGTTTTCCAGGTTAAACATTCATCCTGAAGGCGGATCTTCTCCTGCTCTAAACCACCAGTCTGTACCGTGGCAGCACGTCCATTCAACCCAACCCTAACCTAACCC